AGAGAATGGAGGACAAGGTAGGAAAATCTCCCCAGAGCAGGTATTTTCCAGCAGCCAGCACTGTGTGGAAGGCAGATTTCTCCAGGTGTTGTGGGGATGGTCAGTCTATGGGGGCCGTTGGCTGCTCCCACCGGCTTTGCCTGATGCAAATCCTGCCTGAGCGAAAAACTGAAAATCACAATTAAAAAGTCTTTAAAAGATGTTGGACAGCACAGCACAGTGCAACAGTGAGATATGGATATGGCAACCAGAGCAGCACTATTACCTTGGGAAAGAGCCCAGTAGCCATGGATCGGAGCAGCTGGAAGAGCTGCAGTGCCTGGAGCTGGTGGGAGACTCTCTGGGCACTGCCACGAGGAGCTTTAGTTAATTAAGCTCTGAATTATGAATTATGCATAGAGGATAAAACAATGTCCTGATTTATGGCTGGGGAATTAAGGTGTCATGGGCGCAGGTAGGTGCTTGCAGGCTTCATCCCTGCTGCGGGGTGAAAGCCTTTGTTCTGTGATGGGATGGCTCCCTGGGATGTGACACAGGGACTCTGCGAAGCTGTACTGTGGCCAATGGCCCACACAGGGACATTGCATCACTGAGGGACACTGATGGAGTGCAGAGGTGATGCTGGGGGTCACAGCCCCCAGCCCTGGTCAGGTGCTTGGTCAAGGGCAGTGCGGGGGCCAGGCCACCCAGCACTCCAGGCGGGCTGCCCACGGGTCCCTTCCCTCCCGCTCCACAGGGACGCCACTGCCTGCCATCCCTTCAGCAGGTTTGTTTCCCTCAGTCCCCTCCAAACCCCAGTGGGCAATAGGGAGCCTATTTCTGAGCCATGCAAAGTCTTCTTCTGTTGACAAGGAACAAGGACTTCCCTCCTGAGCGGGCCCCCAGCTGTGCCTGCCGGCACTTGCTCAAAGGGGCTGGATCCCAGCCTGTCCTCTGGCTCAAACCCCCCATTCAGCACCGTGTTTGGAAGGCAGAGCAGGGAGGCAGCCAGCTCCCAAAGCCAAAGGCTGGAGTGGCTCTGCCATCTCAGAGGAACAAAGGCCTTTTCTGCCCTGGGACAATATTGCCACTCACCAGTGATGCCCTCAGCCAGTGGAGCCTGGGGATGGCTCCTTTCAGCTGCACTATGGGAGACCTCAGCTTCCAAGTCTAAAGCTGAGGTTATTTTTCCGCTTCCTTCTGCCATTGAAGCCCCCCCGGGCACTGTGAAGGAGGGCTGAAAGCTTCCCAAGAAAGCTGCAGGGAGGAGGCTGGTCCCCTATGTGCACAGAGGGCTTTTGGGGTCAGAAGCCTGGCACCCCATATCTGCCCTGTGTGCCCTCACAGGACCCCCACAGAACAGCTGTACCATCCTGTGATCCTCAACAGGATCCCCGGCATGTTTTGGGTCTGGAACCACGAGTCGTGGATGTACCCTGGTGGGGTCTGTCCTTCCAGCACCTCTGTCCCCATCTCCCCCCGGGACTCTCCTGCTCTGCTGTGGGGGGCAGAAGCTGTGAGGATGCAGGGTCAGGATGTGGGATGCAGGATGTGGGATGCTTCCCACAAGTCAGATGTGTCTGAGGGCTCCGGAGGTGATGCCCAGGTTGGACAGAGCCCCTGGCAGTGCTGCTCCTGCCCCACGAGTGCAGGGAACTGAGAGTGGGCGGCGATCAATAGGCACAACTGCAGAGCAAACGCAGCAGCACCGGGCTGCTGCATCACCGTCACGAAAATAAATGAGAGATTGATTTTCCGGGCAGTTTGGATCTCATGGATCTCAGCAGCCATGACAAGTGGAGCACAGACAGGGCCAGCTCAGTGGGGCTGTCACCTCCCTGCACTCCTGAGTGCTGAGGAGCAGCGGTGTGAGGTGGCTGGAGGCTCAGGCACCTGGAACAAAGGCAAAGCAGAAATGAAAGGCTTCAGGGTCACAATGGCAGTGCAGGGGGCAGACCCCAGGCATAGAATGAGGCAAGACTGAGGACACTAAGAGGGATAGGAAAGCAGGTGCTTTGTGCTCCCTGAGGGATCTCCTGGCTCACAGACACCAGCCACAACCCAAACCGTTGTGAGCAGCACTCGCCTGCTCACCAGAAAGGCACCGTCTGCCTTTAATATCTTATCTTCAAGCTGCTCTTGCTAAGTCACATCTGACTTAATTATGGTAATTAAGATTGACATTAATACAAGATTAAAATGTGAAATTAAAATTAGCTGCAAAACTTATCAGAAATTTTAGAGCAGTTATTGATTTTCTTCACTGTTAATCAAAGGTCTGAGGTAACGGCCAATGAACACGGCACTAATTAGAGTAATGCCCATAAAGTGGCCTCAGGAGATGTTTCTCTTATTTCCTTGGAATACCTCAGGTCTCTGACCTTGCAAACATGCCCAGCCCTGAGTGCTGCCGAAGGAGCTTGAGAGGCCATGTCTCACCTGCTCTTGTCAGCACCACTCCCAGTATGGAGCAGGGCTGCGCACTCACCGATGGTCAGTGGTGCTTGGTGCTTCACGGTGCTGCACAGCCAGACACAACGCTGGAAGGGCTGGTCCAGCTGGAGGGGGTTCAGGATGACAGGTCCCACCTGCAGGCAGGAGGGCCCTGGTATTTCCAGGAGCAGCAGGAGCACAGTGACCCCGGGAGCACTGAGGCTGCTGGCTCTCCCGCACACATCACCGCTGTTTCTCAGGTTGGAATTTCACAGGCCATTAGGCCTCAGTGGTGGCTGTGAGAGGGAAATTATTCCAACCACACCAGCTCTGGGGAGTGCATCCCATGGTGTATCCTGCAGTTCATCCCAGCCCGTCTCCCCACACACACTCCTGCCTTCAGCTCACTCAAATCTGCAGCAAAGGGTTGGAGGGACAAGGGGACCTCAGTACTGCTGTGAGACCCCCCTGGGCTCACTAAGCAGCACCACTCCCAGCACAGGGTTCCTTTCCCCAAGTGTGATGCCTTGGAGTCACAAAGTGCTGTGTTGTGGGAGCTGGGCCTCTCTGCACTGCCTAAACCTGGCTGAGGAGCTGAGGCTCAAGCCTCACCATTCCCTCTCCAACACTAACAACTTTTGCCACTTCGTGGGCATTTCTGCATCACAAATACAGCGTTTGGTCTCTTTTCCTGCCTGTTTCCATGGCACTGCTGTTGTTATCTGGCTATCTTAGGAGTTTACTACAATGCAGATGAGCACAATAAAAATCACTCAAGGAGAACTGCTAAATGATAGACAACTTTTATCTTTAATAATGTCAGGTTGGGAGAGAAGCGGGGCTGGAGTAGAGGGGGAGCAGAGCAGGCTGCTCTCGCTCTGCCACAGATAGCTTTGTTCAACCAAATTAAACCTCTGAGCAGGCGAGTCCCACTTGGATATGAAAATGACAGTGTTAAATAACACACTGCACCTCTCAGTGATTTCTCTCTCTTCCTCATTTTGTCCTTCTCGCGCCTGCTGCCCAACTGCTCCCAGCTGGCTCTGGCTCGGAGTGACACGGGGAATGCAAATGACCCTCTGCCTGCTCCCCAGCATCCCCAGGCTGCTGCCTCCACTCCCAGCGGTGTCGGTGGAGGAAGGAGCTCAGCAAAGCCCAGAAGGGAAAACGGCAGCAGGATCAGTCTCCGTGTTTGGACAGTTCCTTGACTTGATGTGTTCTGCGTGGTGGCATTGGTAGTGACACCAGTGTGTGATGGTTGTTGCTGAGGTAACGGGATCAGTGTAATTGCTCTCCCAAAGGTAGCGGGGACTTCTCAGATGGCAGCATCAACAAAGTGGCTGTTTGGGGGAGAGACTGCGCTCTGTCTCGTGCTGTTTGACACTCGTGTCGTGCTTTGTGACATTGTCCTGGCTATCTGACTTGACAGGCGTAGAGGTCGGGAGGACCAGGCAGCTCTCACTGGGAGGTGGTTTACAGTAAACATTTCAGGGCAGGATTTGGGATTTCAAGAGAACGGAGCCTCTGTTCCTGTTCTTATCAAAGTCAGTGTAATTACACCGTGTCCTCTGATGGGCTCAGGAGGGGCCTGCTGGGAGCCCTGGGCTCACAGCAGCTGCTGGTGGCCTGGGTAGGAGGACATGCAGGACCAGACCGGGCAGAGGGCCCCACGGTCAAGCCCACGGTCCCCTCCGTAGGCAGGGAGGTTGTGGAGCTCCAGGGCCAGGTGCTGAGCAGGGACTGTCTGTGTGCTGTTTCTTTTGCCACAGGACTGAGGACATTCCAGTGCTCACCCACAGCCACAGTGCCAGTTCCACATTACAGGGGACCCCGAACAACACCCACAAACTGTGAGCTCTTGTATACCTAGAGCCCCTGCCCCACTGAGGTCAGGCAGGTGCAACTCTCTCCAAGCCAGCCTTGGCTGGCACAGCAGGACCAGACCTCAGTGTGTCCCCCCCAAGGGGGCCATAGGGCCTGTATCAGCCTTCCCATAGCACCACTGCCCTACTCATAGTCTGCTTTTTGGGAGCCAGAGGGCAGGGAATGGGGGTAGGTCTTGCCTTGAGGAGGGAGGTGAGAGGAGCTCTGGGTGCTGAGGGGAGTTTTGGGTGCTGAGCAGAGTTGGGATGCTGAGAGGGGCTTGAGATGCTATGGGGGGCTTGGGGACAAGGGACAGTGAGACCATACGAGAGACTGGGCACAGGCTGAGCGGGGGCCTGCAGTAGGGAGCACTGCCCAGGTTAGGGGGGTACTGGGGCTCTTGGAACCAGGGAGAGCCGGGGGGCACGCAGGAAGCCACGGGGGAACCGTGTGACCGAGGATGCTGTGGGGAACTGTCCCCGGGAAGCACAGCGGGTCGGTGGGGCTGGGGCGAGCGGCGGGGGGGCTGCGGGCGGGGCCGGAGAGCTCGGCACTGCGCGGGGGCCGGGGCGGCCGCCGGCGCCCTCCCCCGCCGCTCGCTCCGCTCCGCTCCTCTCCGCGCCGCTCCGCTCCGGTCCGCCCTCCGCCGCGCCCGCGCCCCCGCGCCGGCTCCGCTTCGGCGGCAGCGCCCGCCCCCGCCCCGGCCCGGCCCCGCTCGGCGCGGCGCGGCTCCGCTCGGCTCTGATCGACGCGGCCCCGCTCCGTTCAGCTCGGCTCGGCTCGGCTCGACTCGGCTCGCCCAGCTCGCCCCGGCGCGGAGGCTCCGCCGCGTCCGCCGCAGGATGCCGGGGCCCCGCGGGCTCTGCCTGCTCGCCCTGCTGCTGCTCGGCACCCCCGCGGCCCCGCGCCCAGGTAAGCGGGGCGGAACGGGGCGGAGCGGGCCGGGGCTGCGGGGCTCCCCGGGGCCCAGAGCCTCCCGGCTCCGGGGAGTGGGCACCGCCCGGGGCGGGGGGTGCAGCCGGGACGGGGAGCGGGGAGTCGGACCGGGAGGGTCTGCTGGAACTGGCCGTGGCATCCTCGACCGGGAACCCCTAGCTTCTGCTGCTCCTGGGGCCGGGGTGAAACTTCTGGCATTGCGGGGGAGCGCAGCGGCAGCGGCAGCGGGGCCCGGCGGGACGCGGAGGCTCAGCACCGCGGGGCGGACAGCTCCCACCGCCCGGGCTGAGCGGGGCCGCTCCGGGAACCGCGTTCTAACGGGGAACCGAGGGCTAAAGGGGCCGCGGCCTCCCGGGAGCCGTGCCGGACCCTCCGCCTACCTCCCACAGGGAGGCAAGCCCGATGTGTCCGCAGTCCTCTGTGTGTCCCCAGCCCCCGGGGTCCCTCCAGCCCTCACTGCCAAGTCCCCACCGGTGTTCCTGTCCCACCGTCTCGGGCTTGCAGGGGGTGGCCGTGAGGGGGTGTGTTTGTCCAGGGGCTGCATGTTCATTCCGCGTGTGTCACGTTTCCACGCAGACCCGCTCCCGCTCCCACTGCCGCGATGACAGACCTAAGAATAGGCTCTGGGACGTGCTCGCGGGTGACTTGGCAAAGTCATCACAAACTCGCGTGGGGCTTAAACATGACAAAAGTGGTGCCTGTATCCGGTCCCTCGGCACTGGTGGGGTGCTGGGATGAGGCAGCTGGGCTTGAGTGTGTGTCCGGATGGGGTTACCGGGGCGGATTGTTCAGTGGGAGAACGGGAGAGGCTGGTGTCTGCCAGTGCTGCAGTGTGTGCGGGGCCCGAGGCTGCCCTCCAGGGCTGATGGGGGGTTTATAGCAAGGACGACCAACTCCAGGAGTCAGGAGTGTTGTGCAATGCTGCCTGCCCTCTTCGGTCCCTGTTCTCATGTTCAGATTGCATTGAATGACTTTGACTTTTTGGCCTTAAACTGAGCTCTCTAGACAGGGATTGTATTACAAAATCCATCCTTTCTGGGCAGCAAGACAGAAATGAGCATAGAGGATGGCATTTCTCTCTCACCTGCATGGATTTGTGTTCTGCATATGGACATGCATGTATGTGTGGAGGAATCAGATTCAAAGTCCCTGCCAGTCCTGGCATCCTGTTCCAGCATGGGGGCACAGAGAGGCATGCTCCTCTGGTTACACAGACACTCTGGTCCAAGCTGCTGGTGGGTTATGAGTGCGGTGATGGTCCCTGAGCCCCCTGGGGGGGTCTGGAGGAGCTGGGAAGCAAATCCATCAAGCACAGGCCCAGTATGGGGCTCACAGCTCCCACACTGCCTCGTGTGCTGGAGGCAGGAGGGTTGCCCCAGTCCCATTGGGAGCATCAGCAGGCAGCCCAGCTCCCTGGGAACAGGATTTGGCATGATCTGCCATAAATCTAAGGATAGGAGAACACAGCGTGCCGAACTCCTCTTTCCTTGGCAGAGAGTGAGCTGATAAATTGTTGACCCTTTACAAGGTTTGGTGAATTATTGCTGTAAAAGCTCAACTCCTGCCTACACAGCCTGGAGCCAGCGGTGATGTGGCAGCTCTGCCCATGCCTGGGAGGGTTGTTGATCTGTGTGGAGAGGGACACAGTTAGGGCCCAGACCAGCAAACCATGCTGTTCTCCAGCTTGGGGGGGGGAGCAGGATCAGACCCTGCAGAGTCAGATTGCTGTGCTCCATCTGCTGCTCTTTCAGTTCACGCTTTCAAGAAACAACCAATTTCACATGACTTGCACCCATCGGGTGCTCGGCTGGTGGCTTTTGGTACTCTGCACTGGTGAAGCCATTTAGATCACCAGAGAGGAGGTGTGAAAGCCTCTCCTCTCCTCTCGGCATCCGCTCGCACCCACCCACCGGCACAGAGCGGAACAGGCAACACAGGCACGTCTCTCCGCAGGGACTTGTGCCAGGAGGCTCCGGGCAGCGGCGTGCAGGGAGCAGTGGCGTGCAGGGAGCACGGTCACCAGCGGGGATATTTGTTTAGCACCGTGAAATGATGCAGAGGGCAACATTGGGGCGTGTGGGCAGCTGTGGGCAGAGAGGGCAATGCTTGCCTGTGCTGCCCATGCAGTCTCGGGCTGGGACCGACCCCTGGCAAAGTCTGGTCACTGGGCATGGCAGGGGCACAGTCAGACCCCTGGGAGATCTAGGATTTCTAAATATACCCCTTTTAGGGTGTCCACTAGAGGCTGTGACGAGACAGCAAACCCTTCCCGAGGCTGCGGTGCCGGGAGCAGAAACGCAGCCAGGGGTGCTGAGCTTTGGGCTCCTCTGTAGCCTCGTGATCTGTGCCCTCCCTTCTCCGAGGGGTTTGGGCACCCCCAGGCTGGCTGTCACAGTGCAGTAGCAAGGCACAGAGATTCCTTTGGCCGTGTGGTGAGCGCAGCACCGCGAGAGGCTGTTTCCAGAGAATCAGGTGTGTCCAGCAGGAAGAAAAACTGAGCGTGAACTCGGCAAGGGCTGCAACAAGTGCACGGTGAGCTCTCGCGGCAGCACCCCGAGCAACGAGATAACGGCACAGGGCCAGGCTGCCCGCGGGCTCTGCGGCCGGAGATATCGGGAATGGGGATTGTCTGATGGAGAGCTATCAGAGGCCATGGCAAATGGCTCCTCTTCCTTCTCTCCTCCTTGGCAGAAAGGACAGGGAGAGCCTGGACTAGGAGCAAATGAAATTAGTCTCTCTTAGCCGTCTGCTTCTCCCGTATTTCTTGCCATTATGAATATACAAAGATGCCATTTTAAGTATAGTTTTCTAGATGTCACAGTGTCACAGACATTTCCTTCTGTACATTTTAAACTTTGTCCTTGAGGGATCTGTACCAGGATTTGGGGCTGAGGAGGCAGGCTGCACACAGCTGAGTGTGCTCCCTTGGCATCCAGAATGCCAGGCAGAGGTCTTGGAAACGCAAACCATGTGAAAAGGGAAGTGCCGAACAAATTAGTGTGTGATCCAGCCCTCAGAAGTCAGATTGTGCTGGGTTTGGAAGCTAATGGATAGTACGTCACAGATGAGGCAGAGGGGTGTCAGGGCATTGCTGGGCAGGTAACGTGGGCATCAAAGTCAGCAGGTGTGAGTATGGCCCATCCTGCCAGCAGGCAGGGATGTTCCATGCTCAGTGCTAAGCACTGGGGTGCTTTGTTATCCCATTCTGTGCAAACAGTTGTTTTTTTAATGAAATGAGCTTTGTATGATTAAATAAGATGCAGCTTTTGATTTGGACTACAAGCAGCCTCAGAAATCCGTGTATTTTCCATCCTCTGTCACTGCGATGAGTGCAGCTGCTTCCAGCGGGCTTTGGGCACAAAAAAACTCAAAACAGACTAACCTTCTGTGACAATCCAAAAGTTATTTACTTGATGCGATTTTATTTTTCAAATATTTGAAAGCGGTTACTGATCAGTAAAATACACTCCAAGGAAATCCTGTTACAAAACACAGGCTCTATTTTAATTAGCATGACGAGGGCGACACGGCTGGAACTGGGGCCTGCCACCGAGTGCATCTCTCAGGAGCTCAGAGATGTCTATAGGAAACACTGCGTGAGCACTGGCTTTCCAATTTTCCAGTCCATCAGGATGGATTTACACTCTTGTCAGGGGTATGAAATTGCTGAATTCAATGCTGAGAGTTTTGTAGCTTTAACCACTTGGTTTGCCAGGCACAGGGTGCTCTGTAAGATGGGGATGTGTCCGTCCCTGCTCTGGCCCCAGGGACCCACAGCTCTGTGGGGGGTCACCCACTGGATGTGTAGGGGGACACTGGCACCTCAACAGCACCCAGCCTCCTGACCCCATCAGGGCTTGAGTGGGGTGAGCACCAGGATGAACCACATCAATGTGGAGTGTCGGGGCCATGGGCAGTACCCGGCCATGCCCCTTCGTGAGGCAGCACAGGGGCTCAAAGTCAGGAGAAACCTTGGGGTGCAGCTGGTGCCAGCCCTGGCAGAGGGGATGGGGACACCCCACCCCCCCCAGCTGGTGCCCCCCAAAACAGGGGGCAAAGAACAGAGTGAGGGAAGGCTCGGGGGGGGCTGTCCAAGGGAAGGGAGGATTTGGCATCTCTGACTCGGGTTGCTGCCCTTCAGCTGCTGCTCATAGCTCTATTCTGCACTTTCCAGAGCCCTTCCCAAAAGGACCTGCTTCACAGGATCACTTTTTCTGCTGATGCACACATGAGCAATGCTGGATTGATGGGATGCAGGGAGCAGGTCCACATGGTGCAGGTGCCTCAGCAGCTCTCGCTGCAGCCCCAGGTCCAATGCAGTGTCAGGTAACTCAGCCTGCACAAGCCGGGAGAAGGGAGAGAGAAAGACTTTGCAACTGGAGTCATTCCCGCTGAGGTGCTCAGGGAAGGAAGGTGTCCTTCATTCCAGGGACAGGCCGCCAGCTCCTGGCTGTCTGTCTCCTTTCACAGCTTGTTAACAGACAAGTTGTTAAGGATGTTCTCGCTCTGTCCCATGGGGCTGGTCCCGTTCTATCCGCATCCTGCTCTATCCACATCCTGCTCTATCCATGGATAAAAATACCTGCAAAACGGAAACGGCAGCCACAGAGAGGAGTGAGAATATGTGAGAGAAAGAGCCCTGCGGATACCAAGGTCAGCGAAGGAGGAGGACGAGGAGGTGCTGCAGGTGCCCGTGGTGCAGCCCATGGTGAGGCAGCTCTGCCCCTGCAGCCAGTGGGGGTCCACAGGGCAGGAGAGAGCCACCTGCAGCCCACGGAGAACCCTATACCGGAGCAGGGACCCCGTGGGAAGCCCATGCTGGAGCAGGTTTGCTGTTAGGACTTGTGACACCCTGGGAGACCCACGCTGGAGCAGCCTATTCCTGAAGGAGTGACCCTGTGGCAGGGATGCATAGTGGAGCAGTTCCTGGAGGACTGCAGCCTGTGGGAAGGACCCACACTGGGAAATTCATGAAG